GAGGGGCTCGGATGCACACGATGGCCTTACATGACATACGGACGAGATCGTATTTGGTAGTCACGTTTGCATGAATCATGAGCTGTCCCAGGGCGAAACATGACGTCATTGATGGCGCATTCGTCATTCACGAAATACTATGCTTAGCTTTTCTTACTTCCCATGTGACATGGCGATGAAGAGGCTGATCGGCATTCTGCGTACACCCATGTGGAAGGCATTTGGAGGATAAATCCAGCATTAAACAAACAATTTGGTAAAATTCGGAGCCTCGTTGCTGGATGCGGGCAGCCATAGTCAGCCATCATTCTGGTACCCACTGCCTGATATGGAACTGATAACGTTCTTGTTGTGGTGCCCATTGGCCATGGACAATGCTGTTTCTGGTATTCCCTTCATGACACGTGTGATTGTGTGATGCTATCCATTCTTTATTGTACATACTTAAGTTTCGTTGTAAAAGTGACAACTTGGCTAGTTCAACATACGTGCTTTCTTTGGGCTTTGGATAGCCCAATTTTGTTTACAAAATGCGTGCCTACATATATGCATGCATAGGACTTAAAAATCACAATATTTGACTAGTCAAATGTACATTTAAGTCTTGAATTTTTGCGTTCTGATACTGGCTGGAGTCGTTTGATTGATTTCTTTTCAACGTATACGTCGTTCGCTTTTTTAGAAGCGCCTTCCAAGTGATCAAGTTAGTTATGTCTTGGACAAAGAGGAGTTACGCCTGGGAACAAGGGGATTTCACGCACCGGTTGCCTTGCGAGAAGGTGTGGATTTTCATTTTTGGGTGCCAGGCGGATGCGGGGATTTCAAACATAAAAAGTTACATCTTTAAAAGCTACCAGAGGTCAATCTACGCTGTTTCATCTAGACCAAATTGATTCAAAACATTGCATTAATTTCTTATCAGCTTGTTAACGGAAAGTCTATAAAGTGCATGAAGGCAATACATCCTTCACAGCCAATTTATGGCAACAGATGGATTCTTTTGCGCCTCGGGGCCACTCTGAGAACTTCGTAAGGCTGGTAAACATTCTTGGAATGCCCGCAAGGGAGCCGTCCCTCCTCATGATCTAATGACTGGCTGTTGGTGACTGTGAGCAATGGTACACTCAGCCCCACCGCTCTGTCCACGCGTCGTCACCTGTGGCCAAACGTGTCCCTAGCATGCCGCGCAGCACTTCGCCTCGTCCCGACCCTTGTCCAGGACACGGGCCAACGGATATGTACCAAGGCGTGACTTCGGCCTGACGGACCGATTGGCCACGCTTTCGCGCGATAATCAAACCAGAGAGCCTATCAGCACCATACGTGGGTCCTTCGTTGTTTAACGAAGCCCCTCTGCAAACAGCGTTACTGCGCATGCCTTTTGCTGTTTATTGCCACAGTACGGGCGAGTCTTTCAGTGGGCGCGAGCCGAGGTTTGAAATGATTAACCTGCGATATCCTTATGTATCGTCGTCATCACAGTACATGTTCAC